AGAGCACATGACAAGGAACAAAGACTTCCCCAGAAGTAATGGGATAGGGAGGTTTTGGTCCCCACTCGAAGGTGATACATATTTAGAATATCAATCACTGCTATTCATCAGTAGGGGAAGTACGTGAATGCAGTACTTTTTCTCTTTTTACAATGCTGACCTTCAGTCAGTGTATCTGGATTGTCTTTCATATTGACTCCTGGAGGGCCAGCCTTGTCTAACTGCCTACAAGATATCTAATTAATTTAGCTTTCTACAATAATGTAGCCTATTAGGTACAAGCACTGCAGGAAAATGCAGAGATAAATACATCTCAGTTTCAGTACTGGTTGGGCCTCCAGCTCTGGAAGGAGAGCTATAGGTCCTAAAATTTAAGAAGTGCCCTAAATAATGAGGCAGATTTAAAGTGTTAGAAAAAATTCTAAGTGAGTTTTAAAACCCCTTTTAAAAATCTCAGGGATTTTAATACAAGTACAGCCTTAAACTGGATTTGGGAAGAGAGAGCTGAAGATAGAAGGGATATTTCTATGAATATCTACCACTGTAAGTTCCCCTGCCTAATTAAAGAACACAAATAGAGTAATAATTGATAGGTCTCCCACTACCTCAGCAGCTATTATGTATAGTAGCTGCCCTCTTCTTATGGTGCCTTGCCCCCTCCCCATGTGACATCATGCCAAGATGGTTGCTCCCACCAAAGAACAAACCCTTCTTCCCAGCACGCCCCTGTTCCCACCCAGAAAGTAACCTAATACTCGCTCACCTCCTACCACCTAGTGATGTCACAGGCTCCTCCATTCCCTAGTCACTACCTCACTCAACCTCGCCTCAGCCCCTACAAGCCCCACCCCAGTCTCTGTAAAAGACTCTCCCTGCCCTGGCCATATTGCTTTTGTCTCTGTTCAGAGACAGCCTGGCAGATCTGTTCCACTAATAAAGGCTTGTTGTGGCCTGGTCTGGTCTTGGTTTCTGGCCCTTTTACCTGACAATAATAACCTGTATTGCTGGCTCTATTTAAAGCAATTAGTGTCTTGGATAAATTTATTTTACTTTCTTGTACATGTAAAAAATAGGATTCTAAACATTTTTAAACAACTTTGAAAAAGGAATACAACTTTGTCTTACAATTGATCACTAGTGTGGTCAGTGCTATAAAGATTATCACTGTTTTTATTTAATATATTGTTGGAGACCAGAGGAGAATTACGGCCTAATTGGCCTCCTCTGTGAGCACAAAGGAGAAAGGCTGCACTCAGGGGGTGATTGGATATTGCATATTAGGGAAATGTTAAGACAATTGAGGTTAGTTAAGTTTACCAGAGTATGTACTAATGGATATTGGGAACCAGATGAATCTCATGTTACTTTGATTGTTTGGGCTTGTGTTTGGGTGAATAAAGGCAAGATGAGCCAGAGGCTAGGGGCTCTTCTGTCTACTAGAGGCGAGAGCCCTCTGGCTGCCCACATATTAATCTGACTCCATGTCTCTATGTTGTATCATGGTTGGTGGTGTCCTCCCAGCCCCATCAGGGAGAACAAAGTAGCTAGCCTAGGTCCCAGAACAAGGCCAACGCTCCCAAGGCTGGCCCACACTGTATGGTTTTGGAATCAAGTTTTAGATATTTTTGATGCAAATTCTTGATCAGATTTATGATTAAAGCACTCAACAGTAACTAGCAGTTTCTGATTTAGAGAGTTACAATAACTAGCTGGTTTACTATACATTACTCTAGATTTGGTTGTTTTAATGTTGGCAGAATTTGAAGAAATCTTTCTGAATTTTAGAAAATGCATTATTAGGAGGCTGCCTGCAAAGCACATCACAGGTCGCCCCCCCCCCCCCCCCCCCCCCTGGCCTTATTTAGTATAAATCAGGAATTTAATCCCACTGGCATTGTTCACATTTCTATTTGGCATAAATTCAGTTTCTTTTAAAGGTTACCTGGATTTAACAAGTATTTGTGTAGCTAAATGTTTATAGTTTTGACTGAAGCTGAATCTCTAGTTTTCAATTTCACAGTATGAACTCATTTAAAATACTTCCTCTCTAAAGTAAAGGACGTCTACCTCCTGTCTTTGTTTCTCGATGCATAAAACAAGTAAATCCGTTAGCATGGCTGTATTGTTAAGGCTTAGACTGTGACTACCAGGAAAGTTTATGAGTCATACCACCACCAGAGGCTAGAATGTGTGGAGAGTTTAAGAAAGAATAAATTCTTCTAATTTTGAACAAACTGACTTCCTGTTAGGGTCACAGAAAGGCCCTGCCCCCATGAAAACAAAAGTTGGTTTTCATTTAAAGATCATTGTTGTACATATCCTTTCAAACTTTTGTTGGGACTGGCTACTCTGGAAAGTAGTTTTCATAAAGAAATTTAAACCACTAGTTTAAATTTAAATCATTAGTTTATACAAATAACTCAATAGGCACAAATGGAACTCATCTGTTTTATAAACTCTTCAATATTTATTCCTCAGTTGCACAATGAATACATCCTTATGTTTTTGCATTGGCTTTTAATTAGGTTTGAACTGACCCAGTTTAAGATGATCAAAGATATCCAAATGATATAATTTTAACAAAATTATCACACATGGTCTACACAAAACTATAATAGAATTCCAAAAATCTGCACAGTTCAAAGTGAGGAAATGTTACAATTTTGTCATACCAGAATCACTTCTGGGGAGTTTTTTGTATTAGAACCATGGAGGAAATATAAAATGCAAAACTTTCGTATTGCTTCTTATTTGTCACTTTTCTCAAGGTCTATCTTACCTGGGACTTGGAATGTAGCTCAATGCTAGAGTGATTGCCTAGCATACTTGAGGTCCTGACTTTGGTCTCTAGTACAACAAAACAAAGGAAAATGACCAAAAAAACCAAACACCAAACACTTTATAAAAAAAATGGTACATGTCCAGGTGTTCAAACTTTTTTTTGAGTTGAAATAAAATATTCCTTGAAGGATTAAAACAATAAAGGCTATCTTCTACTCACTCCCAAACTTCAATAATAGAATTCATAAATCAAACTAGTTAGAATGACCAACTGGCTTTAGATATTTGATAAACTATTGTGTCTAGTATCTTTTATGCAAACTACTCAAGCTCAGAAAGTACTCATACTTTTGCCATGTCTGATCATATGAATGTTTATTTGTACCTGTGTTCAAATACCATACCTAAAGTATAACCTGTATTCATAGACCTGTACACCAGGAAATAATGTGGCTCATGAACAGCTTCTGTTTTCCTATTTGATGTTTAGGATGACATTCAAACTTACATTCAGAAGTATGTAGGGCTTAAGCTATGAGTTTAAGTACCTGAGTCTCATGAGTCTCATGAGTTAATTTTGGCAACTTCCATCTTATACATTTACTTCTTCTCCCAACATAATACTTACCTTATATCTTGCTAGTCAACAACAGCAAATATCTGAAGCCATTTATTTATCTCAATATTCCATACAAATCAAAGGGCCAGGAGATGGAACAGTGGAGGGCAGCAGTGGGCAGTCTTTTTCTTCTGTGCACAATGCACTGAATTCACCATATGTCTTGAATCTATTGTGTTCCCAGCTCTTGTCTCCAGAATTTCTCCAGAGCTCTCACTCAGTCTCTCCTCTTTTTAATATACACATTCACACGGTCTCTCCCCCACATTCACCATCCTTGCTCATTTCAATTGCCCTTCTCCAGAATTATTAGTAATAAAAAAAACCTAAACACACACACAAAATGCATAGTGACAATTTAGCTTTGAGTTACCAGTCACAATTTTCTTATGTGTAATTGGTACATTAAATTTTCTTATAGAGGGCTTCCCTAAGACTAGAGTGAATGTGGTTCATTAGGGGAGGCCTCCTATCTCTGCAGAACCATTCTGATTCCTTTCAGTAACCACTATCATTATTGTAAGAGTATTTACTGCAAGCTGAGCTGGACAGACATTGTACAATTTGACCTGGCAAATGCACAAAAACTGCACTGCAAATTATATATTACAGCATTAATTAGCCAAATAAAACTCCAGGGGCATCTTAGGTAGAGGCAGTGCAGTGAATTAAGGAAGGAAATAGTCACAATTACAGAAACCAGCTCAGCACAAAGTGAAAGAATGCAGTCCATTTCCTGCAGAAAACAGGGAGCGTTAGTAATAGTTTAAGAAACGCAAAAATAAACATGACTTGTATAGTAAGTAAGAAAGGGACAAATCTCAATGGTAAGTTGTAAAAAAAAGACTTTATTTGTTGTTTTCTGTTCCTATGTACTACATAGCCAAATAATATTAAGACATTTTATCATGACTATACACTATGACAAATAAACTTTCAAGCCTTTTCTTGACAGCCTTAGAGGTTTTGTCAGCATTTGACACAATGTGAACTCGTACAATGAGTAAACAAACAGTGCCAAAAGGAAAACTGAGTGGGTACATATGGCATGAAGTTTCAACCCCAATAAAAAGAAGCAGAGTAAGGTGGGAGAGAAAGATTAAAAACCATGCACAGGAAGTGTTCTCCGACATATTCAAGAATTTAAGTTGTCCAAAGTTATATAACCCTTGTCAAGATCTTCTGATTAAAAAAAAAATTCCTTGAAGCAGGGGGAGACTCTCCTTTAATTCCCCCCAAATGAAGGCAAAGATGCTATCTTATCAGTCAGTGAATACCACTGGAAAGATGGAACATGAAGGCTGGCATAAAGCTATCAGAACCATGACACTAGGCCTGAATCTGAAAAACCACAACAGGTTTGATTCTAGTTAAGACTATCCAAGCTTTCTTAGCATTTTTCAAAATAGATAAGAAGAGACAAAGTTAGGTGTGGTGGCACATGCTTGTAATCATAGCACTTTGGGAGGCTGAGGCAAGAGGGTAGAACATTTGAGCTCAGCCTGGGCAACTTAGAAACTTAATGAGACCTTGTGTCAAAAAAAAAAAAACAAAACAAAAAAGGGCCGGAGATTTAGCTCAGTGGTGCTGCTGCCTGTCTCACAAGTACAAGGTCCTGAGTTTGATCCCTGGTATCAAAAAAAAAAAAAAAAAAAAAAAAAAGCTGAGATATAGCTTACTGCAAAGGCCCGTGGTTCAATCCCCAGTACTGAAAAAATTCTGAGAAAATTCTATATACTCTTCAGTCTTCTCACAAATACTTACGTTGTTTTGCTAATTTGAGATTAGTAGAGAACCCTGTCCTGAGTTATTGAGCTCCTAACCCAAATGTGGAATGTTTGAATAGCATTATCACATTCAGGATTCATAGGAGAATTAATTGAATCTTAATTTGCTCTCTAAAACCAAATTTGAATTATATTGACATTTACCTTATCTGTTCACTGCTAAGTACTGCTGACAGTTTTCCTTGTGATGGATCATGAATATTCACTATTTAAGATATCATTACTGTTGATCAGGTATTTGGTATGAACTTACATCAGAGATAATCTACTTAAAGAATACTTTTCTTACAGTAGAAAATAGCAAAAAACAGCAAAATTCCTCTTCAGAGAAATGTTAATGAAACAAAGATTTTGTTTTCTCTTTTTTAATATCAGAAATCATAAACTAGCATATTATAAGAATACATATGGTGTTTTTATATTTACACAGCAATTTCTCATAAATCCTGTAGAGGTTGTAGAAGTAGAGCTAGCTGTTCCTTTTTAGCAAGAGCACTTGTAAAACAAAGAATGTGATTAGGTAACTATCCTTATACAGTGAGTTGATCAGTTAAAGAACTTTAGAAAAGTCAGCAGTTCATTTACCTGAGTTTCCCATTGAATCGAACAAAAGCTTATAAAATTAAAAAGGGCTAGAGTCAGAAAATTTAGATTAAAAAGTTAATTTTGAGACTTTTGAATTGCTATAAAACCTAATAGAAAGATATTTCTTCTTAGTTAAAACATAAAGTCATAGAATTATATCGACTTGATGTTATTTACATCTTCAGTTGGAAGTCAGCTTGTGAAGACATTAAGAAAACAAATCAAATTCTTTTGGAATTTTGAGTAAGTGATAAAGGAGAATTATCAGTGACCTATTTCAGTTATGAATTCAGATGAGATTACTAGTTAATACCAGATAAAGAGCAGCATAAATGTGACTTTTAACCTGAATAGATCCCTTTTTAAGGGTGACATATTGAATAACTATAAATTTTAATCTAGAAAAAGAGTTTAGCCAGTGTTTTGCTATCTAAGCTTACTAAGCTGTCTAAGCTTACTTGTTCATACTCAGGCTCCCAATATTGTAGAACTGAATATTTTTATCATATAAGAACTATAATCAAGTAACTACTTAAAACTATTATAATTTCGGGCCAAGGATTTAGCTCAGTGATGCGGCTGCCTGCCTCCCGAGGGCAAGGTCCTGAGTTTGATCTCCAGTATCAAAAAGGGCCCCCGCCCCCCAAACAAAATGAAAAACAAAACTATTATAGTTTCAACACCAGGTCTATTTAAATAAGCTATACAAAATCGTCAACTTTAACACAGAACAAAAAAATATGAAGCATTGTGATCTACATGATTGGATTAGACAAATGAAATAGATCTCTCTTCATAATCCTTCACCCCATCATGAAGATTTAGTTTTAAAACACAACTGAGGCACATGTATCTGCCAACCAGTTCCCATACTTGCCTTCTGTGTACAACTCAAAGTAGCATTGTGCAAATTCATTAGGATCAAGAAACACTTTCGCTATGCATGTGCTCTACCACTGAGCTATATTTCCAGCCTCAAGAAGCAATATTTTAAAACAGCATTTTGACTCCAAATCATCTTCTTACTTTCTTTTACTGTTACATTATAAAACTTTCTAGGTCAGTCAGTGAAGTATTTGGCCCAAATATCATACTCTGTTGGATTTTTAAGTACAAAAGGTAAATAAAAGCTCTGCTGATCATCAGGCAAAAATTATTGCTAAGTGACACCACTTAGAAGTTTTTTTATATTTTTAAGAAAGTAACAATCATTTCAGATGAGAAATATATTGTCAGAAAGCAGAGTTCCCGTGCTTGTATCACTAGTACACAGCAAGAGAGGGGTTGTAGAAAATCGATTGATATATATATATATGTGTATTATTTTGTATAACAGGCAGAATTTGAATGCCATGGTGCCCTGAGGAAGGGATAGGTCCTGAATACACCAGCTCTTTAACAGAGTGCTTTAGTAGTGAAATTTTTTCCATCTGATGCATCCACATATCAGGATATCAAAGATGATTAAATTACTCCCAAAACAGGCTTCTAATTCTATGCTTTTTAAATTTAATTACCTACTAGAATACTAAAATAAATCTAATTTCTCTAAGGCTGTCCACCAGTACCACATAGCAGTACTGAGATTAAAAAAAAAAAGCTTCTGTAGTTTATAAGTGATACTTTAAAAAATGTTGGTAAAAATGCAAATCAGCTAAATTATAAATGACCAATTCAAGCATGCCAACCACCAAAGATCGCTTTCTTTACCCATCTGCAAACTCCTTGCCTAAGGATAATTACAACTATTTGATATACGAAATTATGCAATTTAGGGTTCTGTTGGAGAAAGGTAAAAAATTTTAACATAATACTCTGTGAGTATGCACTTATGTGAGTTTATACTCTAAAGAACATTCTTCTGTAGAAAGACTTGGTCAAAGAAGGCAACTGATATTAAAAAACAATTAGCACAGATTTGTTGGTACATACATGATGAAAACAATTGCAAGTACCATGTACAGGTGTAAACAAGCTAAAAATGACCTTGGCAAAAATATCTTCATCAATTTACAATATGCCAAATGCATGCAACTTATAATTCCCTCCCTTTCACAACAATAAACTGAAAAAATAAAACCAAAAAAAAAGACGGAACCATCTGTTTCTGTAAGTAGAAAATAATAATAGATCCATTAGGTTCCAAGACAAATAAAACTTTAAAATATTAATATTGAAAAAATACAATTAAATTTTTATTAAAAATACATAGTCCTCACTCAATCTTTGTGTACATTTTGTTTTGTGTGAAAAAGAAAAAAAATGAAATAGGAAAGGTATTAAGACTAACCTAATTATTTATACTGTATTTGGTAGAAGCATGTTTCAGTCAAACTTTGATGAAAAGTAAAGTTATTCTGCTTTCATTTGCTCCCGGACATCAGAGGGCAAAGTTTCAAAGAGAGTGTCTTCTACAACTAAACCAGCTCGCTTCAGAGCCCGGCAGTCACCCAGTTCAGGAGGGAGGATTTCAAAGTGATTCCCTTTGACATCCAAGTAGGAAAGAAATAGTAAATTTCCAATTTTCGGTGAGAGTACTGATAGACTATTTTTTCCAATCTTCAAAGTCTTAAGTTTCTTGCAGAAGTAAAGTTCATCTGGAAGGCTTTCCACTTTGTTACAAGTGATGGAAAAATACTGTAAACTTTGTAAAACTCCGACTTCAGGTGGGATGAATCGGATATCATTGTAGGATAAATCCAAGTATCGGATTTTGTTGCATAGGAAGAGGTGGGAAGGCAGCACCTCTATTTTATTGTGACTAAAGGACAGTCGTTCCAGGCTGGTGAGTTTCTTTATATGCTCTGGGATGTAGGTGATGCTGTTATGCCACAGTTTTAGCACTGTCAACTTCCTCAAATGCTGGAAGCTCACGATTTCTTCTATAGATTTCAGGTTGTTTTCTTTCAGGTCCAGTTCCTGGAGGCTAAGCAGGCTGAACACAGCATGAGGAATGCGCTCCAGATCACAGTGGACCAGTTCCAGCTCTGTCAGATTGGTCATCTTCTTTAAATTGTTGATCATCACCAGCTTGGTGCCATCGTTATGTATGCACATCTTCTGGAGATGGCTGGCAACATCCACCACCGCCTGAGGGATTTTGGAAACATTGCTTTTGATAGAGAGAATTTTAAGGCTTTTGAGATCCCGCAGAGACTCGAGGGTGACATTTTTGGAAATATCATGACTTAGAGAGCCAACTAGGTAAAGCTCTTCCAGATTCCGCAGCCCATACATCCATGGGGGCAGCTCCCTCATGTCATCAAACTTGACACTCAGGACTTTGAGGTTTTCCTTCAGGAAAGAGAGAGCTGCACTGTGGATTTTGACAGAGCACTGGTGTAGAGAGAGCTCCTGGAGATTGTCTAGCTGTGCAATGGTGGCTGGTATCATTACATTCTTAATGATTTCAAGTTTTAGAGATTGCAACTCTGTGATTTCAAAAACAGTGTCTGGAAGGCCAGAAAGCATGATTAGAGGCAATTCCAGTCTATTATGGGCATTTGTCTGCAGTTTCTGCCTCAGTTTATCAGGAGTCCACTCATTATTTAAGTTTAGCTGTTTTAGTTTGTTTTCACTGACTTCAGACAGGAACACTGCAAATCTCTTGGAATAAAGAGGATCATACTGATCGATCATATGAAGCATAAAAGCAAAGTCATTTTTCACATCTGGAATATCATCGATTCCAGTCTCCTGCCGGACATACTCAAAAGAATATTCCCTTAGAGAGCGGTAGAATAGCCAATATAAGGTATAAAGGCATGTCAATCCATAGATACTTACAAAGCACAAGTAGCAAAAGGAGAGTTTTGAGAACAAGTGTGCCATGGTATGATTGCAAGAAAAGTTTTTATATCCAGTCATGTCCTGAATGTCAACATTACAATCCACTGTAAATTGGACTTTGGAAACCAGAGCACTATTATATGCAATGATGATGAGGAATTTGATAACCTTGAGTACAGTCTGGCGAACATACATAGCATAGAGTATATCACCTTCTTCCACATGTAGCCTGAACTTCTTTACCTTCTCAAATAAGGCTTTTGCTTGCTCACCTTCCTTTTTATCTAGAGCCCCTGCTGTAGATTTGTCAACCACAAACTTCTCAGGAATTGACTTCAGAGACTGAGAGTTGACCAGGCTGCCCTCTGGACCAGACTGAGTGGTATTGGACCTGTTCATATTGTTCTTCCTGTTGTCCTTTTCTTCTGAGTCCTCCCCAGATACTTCAGATAAAGCCCGTGTTGTCCAGGGAGAGTCAAAACATTTTCCCAGGATGGAGATGAAATGTTCTATTTTGGAGCTGGATCCAGGGAATTTGAACCAAAAGTTACTGCAGAGCATGAAGACCAAAGTATGGATGAGCACAAGGTAGGGGAAATACTTGGCATACCAGTGGAGGGCTCGTTCATAACACATCTGGTTTATGAAACTGTACTGCTGAAGATCCAGATCTGTTTTCAATCCTTTCATTTCCACAGGGGCAGGGTTGGTAGGAGATGGTTTGGGTAGAGGCAACGGGGTGGTACTGGCAACTGCTTGAGAGACATTTGAAACAGATGAGTGGTTCTGAGCAGGCTGCACTCTTTTTGGAAGGCAGATTATCTTGTCTTGCATGACCTGAAACACAGAATTAATATTTTCAAATTATATTACTCAAAGCTTTCATAATGTCATTACTGTAAAGAAAGCAGCAATAACAGCCAATAAATGTCCATTTCCTCTGCCTGGAGAATATAATGTTCAGTTCCAGCACCAAGATTTTATTCTTAGCTCCTATGTTGAAAAAATGAAGTATCTGACTTTGTTCATCACTTCTAAATTATGACATGAAACAGCAGCTTTGTCAGGTCATACAAGTCAAAACAAAGCGAATAATTAGCGAACATTCACTTTCTTAAAAATTTGCATTTCTTCTCTAACCAGAGACTGAGAGAATCAATGATTAGTCTAGAAAGTGCATTCCCAATCAGACTCAATTCTGACTTGCATAGCTTTTGGTGTTCTATTGGTTTTTACAGGTGCAGTAAAAGGATTAGAAAATAGAAATATGAAAAATTCCTATTATTTCTCCTTTTCTTTCTACCCATATCTTGGACTATATGCATAGATTAATATGAATGGCTTTAATATAGTGGGAATTTGGCTAAGCTTTCATTAAAAACCATTTCTCCAAAGAGAGGTGAAATAATACGTAAGTATTCAACAGTAAAACAATTAGGTCTAAATTTGCTAGCTTTAGTACAATATTGAGAACTTCTCTCCATCTATCAATGTTTAGTGTGTTGAAAAGAATACTATGCTGTAAAAATGTCAAGCCATTTCATAAGATTATAATTTGAGAAAGGGAGAATGTACTATTTTTGAAGTTGAGATAGGATAAGGCAGTATACACCTTGCATCAACTTGGAGGAATAAGTGGGACAATGTGAACAATAAGCAAACAGTTCAAAGTGAGAATAATGACCAAGGATTATACAACAATGAGACGTGTATTTAATTCAGAGAAAGTCCATTGTACTACAAAAAGATCAACTGGCTGGAAATCCACATTGTTTGGTGATTCTGCAAGAGCAAAATGTTTAGTGATATTGCCACATCAGAACTCTTTACTTTGATTATAGAAGTGGAAAGAAACAGAACTCAATGGAAAACAGACCTCTATGGCATGGTATGTGACCACAAGTTGGTGCCAAGGGAAATAACAGCCCATGAGACAAAAACACAAAGTTGACAATGGAGTGAATGAACCACACAGCATTTGGTGAAGTAGGAGATCACCAGTATATATTTTTTGAGAAAGTGAATGAACCCAGAACTGCTTCTGGTCCTTGCAGTTCAGGGCTGTAAGGGTCTGTGTGTGACACCTTTCCTGGGGGTGAAGATGATGATGACAGTGATGACAACAGCAAACTTATGTTGTGCTCAATATGTAACTGTCCCTCTTCTCATAATGCAATGACTATTAATTCTTTTGTCACCTTACTCTGATGAATCAGGTACTCTTATTATTCCGACTGTTCTCTGTAAGATAAGGAAAGTGAAGCATGGACTCAGGTTAAGTAACTTACGTAATGCTATCTAGTCTAGGGCTTATTTTATTTAATTAAATTTCTAGGATTAAACAAAAGGATCCAAATTTGATTTTATCCTAAATAACAATTTATCATATACAAATATTTCACATTTTAGAGACAAAGTTTACTTCTTCCCAAATCTTATGCATATAACAAGAAATGAGGCTAGACGAAGAGAGATGTTTCACTACCCAGTTTATAATACTGTTCTGGAAAGCAAAGCAAAGGGCAACCACTGACAATTTAAATCAAAAGAAAGCAAGGAAGAATAATAAGTATGATTACATTTATTTTTTTAGTTACCTTTTTGTTTTATTGAAGGTGGTTTTCAAAGAGTAGAAGTTTTTAATTTTAATGACATCCAATTTATCACTTAAAACTGAAACTTAGCTCCAGTTTGTAATCTGTCTGTTACTCCCTTTCGATGTTTAAAACTTGCAAAATTGGGGTAAAGTCCAGGAAAATTTTACATGAGTCTAAGAATATGGCAGCCACTTTTGCTCATATTAATAGCTATCATTTAGATGGTGTATATCATATATTACACATTATGTTAAATATAAAACATAGTATTTAATATAATTCTTATAAAAAGCCTTGCTGAAGAGGAAACTGGGATTTAGAATAATAAAGTAACTAGACTAAGGGCATCCATATACTGTCAATGGCAGGGATAGAAGTTCTTCTTGGCACCTCATCAAATCCTGCCTCATCAGCATGACCTGGTGCATGGCAAGCAGCCTCCATCTCCATCTCCAGCTTCTCATGAGCTTCCTTGATGTTCTTTGCACTTGATGCTGCTCCTGCTCTCCGTCTCAATGAGTCCCCTCCAGTGCATGGCATGCTCATATTCAAAGGCTGTGCAAATCTAGGTGCCTGCTCTCACTCCTTCTGAAATTGCTGGTTGTCTATAGCCAGCTTCTCTGGAAGTCCCTCTTTATCATCTACCTGGTCCATGGATTTCACAGTCACAGGCCAAGGAAATGTGGTTAGCAGGAAAGGCCTGTCACTGCATTTGTTCAGAACTTTCTGCACAGCTGGCTTCCCTGAGAGCCCAATAATGCCTTTTCCCTTTTCCTGAGACTTCCTCAATCATCCACAATGACTACAGCCCTCTCCACCTGGCCAAACACAGAAAAGGATTCTTCCAGCAGTTCTTTGATATGTACTGAGGAAGGTTTTGGACTGTAAGGGATGTGCTATGACAGGCAAAGCGGACATGCAGTTGTTCTCCAGAGTGGCATATTGTCCAGCTCTACTTTGGCAATCTCAGCAAGGGTTCGTGTGTCCAAGTGGCTAAAGCCAAAGCCTTTTTCCTTAAGAATGAAAACTTCTGCTTTCCAGTATTTCTCAAATAGTTTCTTCATTTATTCCTCAGTGATGTCAGGGGGAAGATTGCCCACAAAAAGATGTCTACATTGGGTAAATGTCTTCTCTCCTGGTTTCCTAAAATTCTTCAGGTCAATAGTCAAACTCCCATTTTGGCTGCTGGCCTGTTGCCCATTTGCAGGTATTGGTGGTAGTGGTGGCTGCTGCTGGTGATGCTGGTGATGCTTCATTGGAGTATGGTTCTGCTTCTCCAAGTTAATGGTTTTATTGCTCTGCATTTTCTGCATTTTTACATGCCAACACTGACAGTTTTCTCCTCAGAGTGACAACCCATTACATTATTTACTTAATTCTTGCCATAATTTTTTGTAGGTTCTCTTTTAGTTGTTTGCTGTTGGGTTTCTTCAGTCTACTGGTTTCATGGCCGTCAGGAGGCAGGTGCAATAGCAGCAGCAGCTTTCTGCCATCTGGATTATAGCCACAGTGTTTTGTTTCATTTTTAACTTTCATAGATTAATGACTGATATTTGATTCCCTTATTTCCTATCAAGGCAGAGGAGGTAATTCTCTGAGAGGTCAGATTCATGGTGTTCTAAAGGTTATTTGTGGATCTCAGCTTATAAGCAAATCTTCTGGCTCTTCTAGTGATTCTGTTGTTGCAAGGTTGAGAGAAAATCACAATCTTTCTGTTACATTCCAGGGTTTCTCAAAATGATGTGTGATTACATTTATAAGGCTCAGTGACTACAGAGAGATCAGAATTGAAGAGCAGCTTCAAACATTTTTATCACTTACCAATATCAGACTGGATAACCACCCAGTATATGTATGTCTATTTATATTTAAATTCATATATCAATTAATATGTCAAATATTGGTAAAGCCTAGCTTCTTTCTCATTAAGTTTAAAATATAGGGCCGGGTATTTAGCTCAGTGGTTCCTCCGCCTACCTTGCAAGCTAAGGACCCGAGTTCGATCCCTGGTACCAAAAAAAAAAACAAAAAAAAGGTTTAAAATATATATAAATGAAAATTTGCATTTTTGTCTCACATTTCAATGAAGCATGCTTCTTTTTTTTTTTGAAACATGTTTCTTATTTTTGGAGGTCAAACACCCTACTTTGGAACTTTCTGGAAAATAGGAGGAAAATGGCTAGACACATGCCAGAATATCTCATATTTATCTTGAGATATAAAGAGACTTAAAAATTAAGAAATTTAGGGTCTTAATGCTTTCCTATTTTTGATCTTATTTAATTCTCCAATAATCTGTGAAGTAGAAAGAGGGTAGAGGCCAGAGACCAGGAGGGAAATGGAAAGTACTTCCCTGAGCACATTCTCCAAAAGTGACACCTCTGAGCTAATATGTTACGATAACATTGTTAATAATGTGATGAAAACAGAAGAATCAGTGTAAAAGCAAGACTAGTTAGGAGGCAAAAAGGCAGGTACCTTCTTAAGGTGCTAAATCCCTGCCAAGCAATCAGGCAAATTCCGTCCCCATCCCTCCTGCATGTTTGTTTCTAATGGTGGATCCTGTAGGCCTTCTTGGCTGTGGTACAGGATTTTAGGTCATGCCCTGCACCATGGTGCCAAGCTGAGGGGCAAGTGTGGGCTAAACTCTAGTTTGTGTTCCCTTTGCTTAGTTGCACATACCTAGAACTATGCCTGCATAATGGAGTGCTTTTAATATTTTGCACAAAGGCAGCTGATTGGTTGAGGAGGTAGGTCACATTCTCCCCATTTTTTTTTTTTCTGATACCTGGGATTGAACTCAGAACCTTGCGCTTGCCAGTCAGGTGGGGCACCACTGAGCTAAATCCCTGGCCCTTACATTCTCCCTGTTCTACAGAAAAAGAACTTGACCAAGGTTCAGAAGACTTAAGTGACATGCACAAATCGATACAGCTAGAAATGGCACAACAGAAATTTAAAGCTGTGTTTTGCATAGCATTCTCCCACCACTCCACAGTCTTCTCGTCTTGCTAACCGTCAATTATGACAGCTTTACAGCAATATGGAGACAAGTTGCCAGAAGCTCCTTTCAGTGTTCTGATTTTATATTTTTCTTTCAGATTTTATGAAGATACAAGTTTTGTAATATGCCTGCTCAAATCCCAGGAAAATGAAGACTATTTTCCCAAAGAGCACTGAGTACAAAAGAAATATTGGAATTTAGTCACTAAGAATAGCAACGGAGGGAACACATCCTCT